AGGAACTTCCTTGCTGTCTAGGAAGCCTTGTCTGTGAAAGAGGGCTGATTTCAGCACTGACAGGAGAGGCAGCATTAAGGAGTGGCTAGCTCACTTCTGCTCCACAGGAACCAAAGGCACCTGAGCATGAGCCTCAGCAGAGGAGAGACACAGATTTGCATTCCTTTGTCTCCTAACAGCCAGGAACAGTTGAATTGGGTAATTTAAACTCATTACACTTGCACATTTATTTAGCTTCTGCTTGTTCACATGCATAAGTAGTGTAAGTGAACAAGTTGGCTAAAGCATCTGTCCTTTCTCAGCAAATCTAAAAGATAAAAGACAAATAAAAACATTTTAATCGAATAGCGTTTCTCCTCTTTAAATTAGTGTGTTCTGAATGGGAAGCTTAAAAGCTGAGGGAAGGTGGTTTTCTAGAGTTTTCTAGCTCTCACTCGATTGTGTGATGGCTTGCATGATGCGTTGGTGATAATAACCTGATGCAAATAAATCATCAACACTAGACTCAAATCAAATCCATCTTCATGGTACCAAGGACGTTAGAAGAAATCGGACACGGCAATCCTGAATTTCTACTGAGGTCAGGAAGGGTCCCTACTGGCTTTGCTTTATGTGCAATGTTCATATTATTTATTCTCCCGGTGTAGAGTGGGGAGCCTCCATTAGGTATGTAGGCATCTCCGAATATGGGAAATGATTTCCCTGCAGTTGGTTGCCTGACAAGTATGAAATAATTTTAGTGATGAAATGAGGCTGTCAAATGCTTTTCTGTATCCAAGATTGCTTTGAGTTGTCTCCCCTGCACATCATTGCCATCAAATCTAGGATCACAGTGGCCTGAATTCATTCATTTGTCCAGTGACAAGAGCAGTCTCTTAGCGTAGCAAAAAGAGACTGTGTTTTGTTTTTGAGCAAATCAAAGCATAACCTTCATATATAAAGAGCAGTATAAATGTAAACTATGGTTAATGTTCTTCTAGTGGTATGAACAATTCCTGTTCCATCAGGCATGGGACTCAGTAGTCTCAGGTGACCTACAGGCTGACTTCAGGCTCAGTGACAACTACCTCACTGCCAGGAGCAAATGATTGCGAGACACAGTGGTGACCAAAGAAATGGACATCGTAATTACAATGTACTACTTGATGGTGAAAGTTTGAATGAACAATCTCCTTCCATCTGATGTTTCATTTATCATACACACTTATCTGCAATGAAACCCTTTGCATCAGAAAAGCTAGCTTCCAGAGATGGCAGAGGGCAGAGATCGGGCAATCCCTGTTAAGAAATCACTCTTTGGGCACCGGAGGCACTGGAAATGCTGAGGATCGCTGACACGTGGAAGGAAGCTGTAGGGCAGTGCTGCAAGGCAGCTAAGTCCAGGCAGGATTCTTCCATCCTGCTGAAGAGTCTGGGCCATCAGAACAACACAGCTGGAAAAATTTCAGACAGATGGGAGCGGGAAATGTGATGTACAGTCACCCCCAAACCTCCAACTCACCAAGACTCTGAAGCCAGGAAAGGCTGAGATTGAAGCCTGAAACCTCTCTCTCTCTCTCTCTCTCTCTCTCTCTCTCTCTCTCTCTCTCTCTCTCTGTGTGTGTGTGTGTGTGTGTGAGTGTGTGTGTGTGTGAGAGAGAGAGACCTGCCAAGTAACTGCATCAAACATGTATGTGTGTATGTGAGAGAGTCTTAAATATAGATCATATTATCTTTTAATATAAAAGTAAAACATCATATTTACATATGTAACCATACAAATATCATATTTACAAGGTAGTAAAATATGTGTTCAGTCTAGATTTCACAGCCTCCGCCACGTACTTGATAAGAGCATGCATCCAGCCCTTTCTATGTGCTTCCCCAGGGACAGGTTTCTCTTCCATCTTCCATTAAGTGCTATGCACTGGAGGAATTAGGAACCCTGCAGGTAGCTAAGAACAAAGAGCAAATACTACAGCTTGGGCTGGTGGATGCCATAGCCATAGCAGCTGTAACTGCTCCCAAAAACTCAGTTTTGTTCAAGATAATAATAATTAAAAAAAACCAGCAACAAATATGCACACATGAAGGAGAATCTGGAAAGTGGGTGAGGTAGGCCACAGGCTCACCATGCCGACTCCTCTAGGGGCTACACAGAAGACTAATTATGCACCAGTGGGAAGCGAAGAGTCAGTCTTGATGCAGCTCACAGCTGGCCAGCATGATTCCTCCCCAAGTCATCAGAGATTGAACAAAGATCAAATATTGGCTTCTCTGGAGAATAGAAGAGCTAGGTGGAGATGGCTATGATCCAACTTTTTTTTTTGGGGGGGGGAGGCGGCTGCCTGAAGAGCAGGTTCGATCTTCCTTGTCTCTGAGTCCTAAGAAGACCGAGCATACACAAGACACACTGGAATGCTTAAAGCAAAGCAGGTGGCTTAGACCAGCACCAAGCTTGATAAGGCTTAGAGAGTCTGGCCAGGAGGACTGGTGAACACAGCCGGGTCTGAAAGACTGGTGGAAGTTATAATAAGATCTTCAAGGTCATCCAAAGGCTCCTGTGTGAAAGGTTTGGTCCCCTGGGGGCTGTACTGGGATAGTGCTTAAGGAAGTACTTAAAGCATTGAGGGTAGGCCCTTGGAAGAAACATAGACCCACACATACTTCCTTTGCTCTCTGTCTTGTGATGTGAGTGGTTTTGTTCTGTCATGCACTACAGTAGGACAGGCCCTCTTGCTACAGACACAAAGAAAACAAATGGCCACAGAAAAGTGTGGTCCAAAATATATGGTTTTTGTTCATACGTTGGTTATGTTAAATATCTTGTTATAGTGGCAGAAAGCCAAATAATAATAATAAAAGAGATGGCTTGTGTAAGACACTTGCCAGTATAATAAAGAAATAATAAAGAGTAAAGAAAATAAGGAAATGCGTTCAAAGGATGGAACAAGATTAAAACCAGGCTCAAATAAAATGAAGTTGCATGACTTATATGGCAGTGCCTTCAGAGTAACCACTGCATTAAGATGTTCGCCAAGGTCAGAGAAGTAATACATGTGCAAAATAAAATTCCAACAGAGGCAGAAAATGCGAGCACACCACACGAAAATAACAGACAGAGGGAGTTTAACACCTGAACTGGAAAATTAAGTGAAGCAACAGCAGACTGGATATATTACAAGAAACGATTGTCGAAGTTGAAGCTATGTCATTGGAAATGGTTCCACCAAAGGTTCAAAATCACAACGGAATCAGAGAGAAAGACACTTAGGAGACCCCCAAGACAACAAACAACTGGACCAACACAATGAAGCTTCACACAGAAGGGGCTCTGAAATGTCTAAATATGGGGAAAGAGATGGACTAACAAACCCAGGATTTGTATTGTGGTCTGCTGCCAGCGGCCCCTCAGCTAATCCAGGCTTCACAACTGTCTCCCACAAACAATGGGCCCGGTTCGATCCCCTGGAGTCTCCACAGTTGTAGGTCTAGAGTTCATACGTTTCCAAAAGCTTGGTTCAGCTGTCTCTGTAGATTTCTCCAGAGGGTGGGATGCCATGCTCAGCCTTAATGCATGGGAGAAGGACCTGACCTTGCCCCAACATATTGTGACAGGCTATATTGAGTCCTCATGGGAGGAGCCCTTACCAGTGAGGAGGTGTGGACTTGGGGTCGGCTAGAGGGGAGGGCAGGGGGTTGGGAGGAAGGACTCTGGTTGGAATGTAAAATGAAATTTAAAAAATAAATGAAAAAAAAAAAAAAAGACCCAGGAAGCCAAAAAGATGTCCCTGTCTGTCAACAAAGAAATGCACACCAAATCACATCATAATTAATCTATCAAAAGCCAAAGACACAGAGATGTTTGAAAGCAGCAAGAACTAAAGTGACTTGAGTACACTTGTGTCCAAATCTTTCATCCCATAGCAGAATGGTGGATACAATAATTCTGTAGGCTTCAGAACCCTGAATGATGTCACACGTACTTGGCCAAGGGGTAGAAAATGCAAGATTCAAAGTCTCCTATTCTTCAAGCTTAATCTAAAAAAGGATCATCCGTTTTTAAAAATGCAACCTTAAACCATCTGCTGCACAGGTTGGTAACGTCAGGGACTTTGAAGAGCAGAGCAGGAAGACTACAGGATCAAGGGTAGCCTGTAGAGAGAGTTCATTCAGGGCAGCCTGGGCTACTTAGTAAGACTTGTGCAAAAGTGAGAAATAAAAAGTCAGCCCATGGGAAAGTACTTTCCTAGCATCTGCAGGGTACCAGGATGCAGAAAGAAATTAAATGAGGATGTCAGGTCATAGAGCATAAAGGAAAAAGAAGGCAGGAAGTTCATTCAGGTCATCTCAGCTCCAGCCCTTACGTACAAAGTGGCTGGAACCCAGGAATATCCACAAGATTTGAGAAGTGTTTACTAATGTATTTTGATTTGACGAGTTACTCAAGTAACATTGACTTATGATCTGAGTGTTTTGGATGAGTAGGAACCATGCACATGAAAGACAAGATTACTGTACTTACCAAATAGTCTACAAGAAAGTCAGCATAGCAATGCAATAATAATAATAGTAATAATTAATAGCACTGACTGTGTACTTAAAACTGTGAGGATTATAACCTGAGGGGCACACACACACACACACACACACACACACACACACACACACACACACAAACCCCAAACAAACAAAAAAACCAAAGCAAACAACAACAACATCAAACACTTGTAAAGAAAAGCTGGGAAGAGGGTCTGCTAATGTGAGGAAACACTTTCACTTTAGAGGTACACATTCTAGACTGTCCTGTGTCTTCAGTCATTACCAGCTTACCCTGACCTATGACGGATGCTCACATGTCCAGTTCTCATATAGACCACGTTTGGAAAATAACAGACACCCAGAACCTCCAGATAAACCATATCTCACCACATGCAGCCACAGACTGAGCCCACTTGTGAATGAATGCAGATTTTCCCCCCAAAGCACACCCACAGCTCTTACGAGTGAAAATAACTTACAACTGCCAAATTTCAGCGGACAAGCATGGGCATCCATCGGGAAGTCCTCAAGCTGCATTGGGCACTCGGCAGAGATAGTCAGGCTGAGGAGTAAAAAGAGATGGTCAAACAGGCCAGCTCTTCCTCTCATAAATCCATTTACATTAACATTTTAATACTTTTATGAAATTTTCTAACTGCCCCCTCCTAAATTACATGTTTGTGTTATAAGTAAGAGTCATTGGGAGTAAAAAGAAGGGTGAATCCAAGCACTCAGGAACCCCGTGGTCTGATGTATGGGCTTGCACAATCATCATTGCTCATAAAGTCACCTCCGGTGCCTGTCCAGTGATTTACCACTTCCTACCTCTTGCTCATCATCATCAAGCATGCTTTGTTTGACAAGGCCGGAAATACATTTATTTTCCTAAATAGTTTACCGATTCAAAAATGCAAGGTAAATGTACCGTCAAATCTCTACCAGAACCTATGTTTTTCATTGCTTAATGGACCTCAAAGGAATTTGTATCACAATAGCAATTTTCTGGTGCAACCTGATTGTTATCCTCTTAATCCAAACCCAGTCTTCCACATAAGAATACACTGACCGCAATGCTGGTGGCCGTGGCTGCTCAGGCAGCCATGACAGGCATTGTGGGAGTGCTCTGACCACATTGACTTCCATCACCATGGTAGCATGTGGAGATCACCACAACTAGCACAGGGTATCACAGATGGAGCAAGGCCCAAAATGTAGAGCTACTCAGCGGCAGGACATGAGTGCAGCTCAAGCTGCTGGCCGCTGCCTACAGAGAGTTCCTATGGCATCTAGTACCTAACCTATGAGTGTAGACTCTGCTCTGTAAAATGGAACACTTAGAGTATTCCACAGTGTGAGGGTGCTGAGGCCCAAACATAGTGGAGTGGGCCCACCACAGGTTTATGTGGCAGAAATGGTTAGTGTGGTAGTATAGAGTTGATACAACCTTTAAGAAGAAGTGAGGCCCTGTAGATAATGATTAGGTCATGCGGGGAACCTCATTAGGAAGGATTAGATTAATTCTTGAAGAGCTCCAGTAGTTCCCTCAAGAGTAAGTTGCTATGGAGTGCCAAGCTAGTCTCTGAATTTCTTTGGTTTCCCTTCCCACCATGGGTTTCTTCCACACATCCTACTGACACTGTTATATCATCACTGCAGACCTCACTAGACAAGTGATACAAATGCCCAGGAATTTTCAGCTTCCGCAGTAAAAGCTAAGCAAATCTCTTTTCTCTGTACATTACCTAGCATCAGGCATTTTGTTACGCAAAGAAAACAGCATTACCCATGCTTTCATGTTTCCAAAGAGTTTTTACTAATTTAGCAACATTTTAAATGAGCTTATTTTCTGTTTCTTATGCTCCTTTCCATTATCCCAAATTAAATTAATTACTTAAACTATGAAACGTTGGGCTTCTTATGCACGTGGGAGCAGATAATAAATAATAAATTGTCTGTTGTTGCCAATTGTTGTTGTATTAAGTAGAGATGCTGCTCATGCTCACAGGATACAAATGAAATGCAAAAAAGCATTTGTTTTCCTTTTTATCACTTCCTTTTGTTAAAGCAGATTAGCCTGTTTTAAATTGGTAACATCAATCACAGGTGGCCACTGGAGCCTGAATAGTCAATCTAGCCATTTGCTGAACTCCCAGGATGAAAGTGCGTCTCCATCAGAAGAGAAGAATCTTTGACACTGTTCTGCAGTAGGATCCCAGGGTAAGAGTGAGCCACCAAGGGCCCTGAGTACAAGGTGACCAGATACACGCTCAGTTCTCATTCTCAGGTCCAGATGTAGCGACTGCTTTGAAGACGACATACTACACACACTCAGAGAGCAGAGGATACACACAAAACCACAGGCATTCAGACAGGTCCCATTCACTTGACCTTTCATCTGGTACATGTCATCTGGAGTTTTGTGCCCTATGTGTGCACACTGCCTTCTGATCTTAGTACAAAAAAAAAATGCATCTTTCTATACAATCGCGCATAACTATCTCCCACATCACGAATCCCTCTCACAGTCATGACTTTGAGAGGCTAATTTTGAAACTCTAATGTGTATGATGTGCCTGTCTGCCGGCATAGCTAAGAACCAATGGACTGGCCTTAGACCTTTTTAAGATTTTTTTACAGGACTCCTAACTGAAAAGAAAGTTTTCAGCTGCACACTAAGAAAGGAGGGTTATTGACAAGGGCTGGAGCGGCAATGTAAACAGAGATTAACTTCCCAGAATTAGGAAAAGGAGGACTTTTTGAGAAGAGTATCACACGGTCAGAAACTTACTGCCTGTGATTGCTGGTAAATTGGGAAATGTGCTAGAGAAAGCACCCATGAGAAAACACACTCAATGATGCCACACGGCACAGTAACCGCACCAAGCAGCAGCTAACAGTGATCTCGGGAAAGGAGAGCACTGTGGGAGTCATGTCATGTGTCACTATGGCCTCCAGTCTTCCAGGAGCGCCGGGGTCCCATCACTGGGAGCAGTGTGAGGGGAGAGGGTGGCTCAGGTGAGCAAGCCACAGCACACGCGTCATCAGTTAAAAGACCCCATTCATGGCACTCCTGAATGACATGAATGACAACTTCATGGGCCCCCTTTCCCTTCTCATGAGGACATGTCTGGAGATGGTACTGATGGCAGAGTCTCTTTCTATCCATTTCCAAGTCAACCAGCTCTCTTAAGTGGCTCTTACTCCAACAAGCCCTCAGCTTCCCGTCCGCGTGCAGGTTGCCTGGACACTCATCTTCCCATTGCTGTGCATGTCTGCCTGCCTGCAGACACAGTGGGTACTGCAATCCCATCCCCCACTCCTCTGTGCAGGTTCTGTTTTGTTCATATGGCCATTGTGGATCTAGAACTTAGGATTTCTGTATTTGGCTTCAATTGTCAAAACAGATCCCATAGAAGTAAGACTCCCGCCTTAGTTAGGTACTCCGTCCATCCCTGGTGAATTTTGTCTCTGCTGCTGGCCAAGATGAGGGGCATAAAGGAGGACCAGAGAGCTCTGGCTGCCTTTGTGGGATTCACTGTAAATGCTTGCCCCCAAGAGCAAGCAGAAAATCGCTATACAAGCATAGCTTAAAATAGTCTGGCAAGAGATGTTCAATGGGAATCTTCTTTTAGCATATTGTGAGAGTGGAAATGTTGTTGTGTGTTGTAAAGACTCTGTAAAAATGGTTCCAGTACACCTATCTACAACAGTGGTTTGTATAGTACAACTAGTATCTTAGTAATTATTCATACCTTATTTGTATAAAGTGCCTTATAGTCAGTCTGAAGCTTCAGACCAGCATCTGTCCCTGCCTGCTAATAGGCGGCATCTGTTCGAATAAATCCCTCAAGAACAAATGTAATACATTTATATTTCTGCTATTTTTACACATTGAACAAATGGCCTGAGTTTGTCTAGATAGAGGGACTCTTCAGATCTGAGCTTTTGAACACAGACAGTACACTGACAGGTAACTACTCTCCACATTTGGAATCCAGGTGGAATACCTTTTCATGGAATGGTTGACTGTATAGACCAAGGCTAGCTAAGTCACCTGTACAAAGCCTTAATGTTTTAGCTACAGTAAATGAAGCTCAGCGAGTTCAGAATGCTGCCTTTGGCTGAAATTCACTGAATTACTGGAAGACACAGGTACATGGTGTCAACTCAAGTCAACCCAAGCAGTAACAAGTGGAACATGATGTCTGCACAAGAACTTAATTTTAAGAGGCGGAAAAGAGCAGGGTGCAAGTGAAGATCCTTGTTCCCAATTGGTTTTATGTCACAATTGAGAGCTTAGGACCCCAGACTCAGTAGTTTGTGTTCCTGTTTGGTCAGAGGGTCACTCATGTAAATGGTACTCTAGTCCAAACAACCAAATTCCAAAGTAGCTGTATCATTAACTGTAAAAATTTATAAAAATGCCTAACTTCTTTTGCCCAGTCTTCCCACTCGGAAAAGAAAGGTAACAGTAGATTTTTATAGTCTGAAAATCATAGGTGTAAAACAAAGGGTTAAACAAGATAGGAACTTCAATGACAAGAAGGTGACTAAGGATAAAAGACTTTCTTGTTTCCATGGAAATACTGCAGCAGAAGATGTGCCCACAAGAGGCAGACAGCATTGTAAACCTCAAGAAAAATGCACAGATCTCCCAAACCTAGGACTACCCACCTCCTATAGCAAAAGGGTTGTTGCACATGTAATTAACACAAGGTTCTTAGAGTGTGGAGATTGCCCTACGTTGTTCAAGTAGACCGGTCTAATCCCATGGACCCTTTCAAAAGGAATGAAAGAGTAAGAGATGCAGGGACAGATGCAAATATGAGAATAAGACTGAGAGCTCAGCAATGTGCTTTCCAGGAACTGGATTAAACAGGAATCTCTTCTGGAACCCCAAAATCAATGCAACTGGCCAACACCTTGGTTTTAGCCCCAAGAGACCTTTGTGGCTCCTGACTTCCAGACCTCAATAGAGGTTGTGTTTTAAGCAAATACATTTGTGATGATTTGCTGCCATACCAGTAGGAAAGAGATACAAATCTGATACCCAGAAAAAAATGTGTTACTATAACAATGTCCTGAAAACTATGGAAATGGTTTGTTTGGTAATGGGCTGACAGGAAAAGACTGGGTTTCCTGGGATGGATACACTATAAGTAAGTGATGCCTCTGCAGTGATGTGGTGGTTGGTTGAGTGAGAACAGCCCCCATAGGTGCATGTTGGAATATTTGGTTCCCAGTTGGTCGAGCTGTTTGAGAAGGATTAGAGGCTATGGTCTTGCAGGCAGAGGTGTGTCACTGGAGGTGGGGCTTTGCAGTTTCAAAAGCCTATGCCATTCCCAGTTAGCTATCTCTGTTTTATGTTAGTAAATTGGATGTAAGCTCTCAGCTACTGATGTAGGACCACACCTGTCTACCTGCTGCCATGATGGTCATGGGCTCCCTCTTTGAAGCTGTATGCCCCAAATAAATGTTTATATGTTGCCTTGGCATCATAGTTGAAAAGTCACTAAGAGAAGTAGTGAGAAGCAGGTAGAGATGTGTCAGTGGCCACTGTTG